TGTGTGTGTGTGTGTGTGTGTGTGTGTGTGTGTGTGTGTGTGTGTGTGTGTGTCCCAAGTATCTACGTACATGCCAATAAATCTATACCTAGATCACATGCGCATCTACAGTTATATGAAACTCACCAGATCCTTGATGTGTTGCTGCTGTGTGTGGATGGTGTAGAGAAAGTCTTGTTTGGACTGGTGGTCGCCGCACTGGTACACTCCCGCGTGTGGCTCCATAAGTCGGAAAGCGTTTTGTACCTGCAGAATTTAGAACAAAGCCAAAACAACCCAAAAAAAAAAAGCCCCAATTGATTCAGTCTGGAGCTCACTACGGTTCAAAGTCCGGTACTGTGGCTTACCAAATGGTGGAAAGGAATACCAGCAGAGACCAACATGTCCTCTCATTGTCTAATAACACTGGCTGGCGGAACTGATATGAAACTGCCGGTTACTAAAACATTCAAGGGCCACATATAAAACCGCCGGTTACTAAAACATTAAAGGGCCACTAACCTCGTCAGGGTCACGGTTGTTCTTGTTTATGTCGATCAGCAGGAGCCGTTCTAAGTCCCATCTGTGACCGAGGTACGAATGGGCCGATGAAAAACAAAGCGCATGTGCGAATATGTGTATACGTGTGTATACATGTGTATGTGTGTGTATATAGGTGTATGTGTGTGTCCGTGTGTGCATGTGTGTGTATGTGTGTGTATATATGTGTATGTGTGCGTATGTGTGTTCATGTGTGAGTACGTATGTTTTTGTGTGTGTGTGTGTATGTGCGTGTATGTATGTACAAGTGTGTGTATGTGTGCGTGTGGTGTATGAATGTGTATGTGTTGTATGTGTGTGTATGTGTGTGTATATATATGTATGTGGAAGTATGTGTGTGTATGTGTGTGTGTGTGTAATGAGCGTGTATATATGTGCATGTGTGTTTATGTGTGTTTTATATGTGTGTTTGTGTGTGTGTGTATGTGCGTGTATGTGTGTATATTTGTGTATGTATATGTAACGTAAATTGATCTATTGGATTTGCACCTGCATCTTTATGGAACAGGTACATCCTCTATAAATACATATCTCCCATATACAACCCCACATACACCCCCACATACACCCCCACATACATGTACATGAGCCGGTAGCGCTGGTCAGCCCCGTCCTGCACAGTCATGGCAGGTCTGCGTGCTTTGGGGCCGCCCCCGTCAGTACCCGTCACGGCACTCCCACTCAGCGCCTGTATACTCACCAGCACAATGTCTGTGAACACAAAAAACCGTACCGTCCGCACTTCTTGGTACCCTCCTGTGGGGGTGGCAGTGGTGGGTGTGGCAGTGAGTGCTTGTGAACTAGTTGTTGAGCCGTATGATGTGACGATAGGGTGGAAATAGAAGGCTTTCCAAACACAATATTAAACACAAGGAAGGAATAGACGACTTTCCAAAGACAATGGTGAACACAAGGAACCACATCGTCTGCACTTCTTAGTACCCTCCTGTGGGAGTGGTAGTAGTAAAAGCTGAGACTTAGGGAGCCAGTGGTAATGAAGGTGTACATATTTAGTAAGAGTAGTGGAGTATAGTTGGTATGGGATCGCTTCTGGCTAGCCAGTGATGCCTGTGGTATCAGTACTTGAGCATAAATGGTTTGGGTGTTTCGATTTAATGCCAGCAATTTGGCGTGGACCCCTAATCACAGAGCAGCGAATTCTATCAATACCCACACATGGATTCGCCTATGTTGGCCTATATATCTCACACTTGTATACAGAACTATATGTAAGCAAGAATACAAGAATAAGGATATACGATCTATAGCACTACAAAATATGCGTACTATGATGAGGATATACAATCTATACCACTACAAAATATGCGTGTTATGATAAGGATATACAATCTATAGCACTACAAAATATGCGTGTTATGATGAGGATATACAATCTATACCACTACAAAATATGCGTGTTATGATAAGGATATACAATCTATAGCACTACAAAATACGCGTGTTATGATGAGGATATACAATCTATACCACTACAAAATATGCGTGTTATGATAAGGATATACAATCTATAGCTCTACAAAATATGCGTGCTGTATTTACCAACAAACTGCATCTTCAGATCCCCCATACGAGATCATCACGCCTCGTCACCCGCTAGCATTCGCCGATGTCTTTTCCATACAATACCATCAGATGACAAATGCACACCCACCCACTCGCGGCAATCACTAACAAACACACTATACCTTCACCCATCGCACGATACACACTATTGCAGCGTCTGTCTATTTCTGTGTGCTATATACACCCCCCACCACCCCAAACCCCCCTCTCCACACACACACCACACACCACCACACTCCGCACACCGCACAACCAGAACACACCGGCTGCACCCATCTCCTCTAACTCCTTGAGGTCTTCTTCCATCAGCAAGACACACAAACACCACACACCACCACACTCCGCACACCACACAACCAGAACACACCAGCTGCACCCATCTCCTCTAACTCCTTGAAGTCTTCTTCCATCAACAAGTGACGGTTTGGATACTTTAGAAAGTCGGCGGGGCAGCCGTCTATGCGCGCTGCTATGTCCATGAGTTTCATCTGCTGTTGGGCACTCGCCCCAGGCCCTTCCTCCTCGCGCTCCGTTTCACATAGCTCGTTGACATGTCTCAGAATACCTGTCAGTAGTATTATGTGGCAGGTTGGGTTATTGGGTTTGGATGCATGCGTTAAGATGTCTCAGAATACCTATTGGTATTAGCATGTGACAGGTTCGATACGACATGTGAGCCTGGCACGTTGGCGTGTTTTAGAACGCCTGCAAAGTTGGAGGTCTTCAGTGCACACTAATAGGTGCATCATGTACACAGCTGTATATAAACCTCTGCACCGGTTCATATTACCTCAACCCTATATACGCATAGACCATTCCGTGCCTGGGGATATAGCATGGGCCATACACCGTCCGATACTCGCCAACGCACTCAGCAATGAACGAGGCGGCTGCATTTAACAGCTGCGCTGGTTCTCACCCACACAATCGCTTGCCATATGCGGTCTGAAGGGGTACGTCTAGCATCGATCACCCAGCACTGACAGATAGCCAAATCGAACGGAACAAGCCACCCGTGTGCATTCTCGACTAGCGCTCGTCTGGTGCGAACATGTCCCCTCGCCCCTATGTATAGGCCAGCGTGTAACGTTTCTCTGTAGTACACTCCAAGACCACCCAACCACACCCCACTACACCACACCACACCACACTACACTACACCACACCACACTACACTACACCACACTACACCACACTACACCACACCACACCACACTACACCACACCACACCACACCACACCACACCACACCACTCCACTCCACTCCACACCACGCCACACTACACCACACTACACCACACCTCACCACACCACGCCACACTACACCACACTACACCACACCTCACCACACCACACCACATGCCACCACACCTCACCACACCACACCACATGCCACCACACCCACCACACCACACCACACACCACCCCACCACACCACACCACACACCACCCCAGCCACAACAGAATATAAAACACAGCGGATGACACGAGGCTTACTGTTGGTCTCACTCAGTAGGGCACGGATGTCCTGCAGGTCATTGTCGAGCTTAGCGATCTCTCGCGATGTCTCGATGAATAGATTGTAGTTTTGGAACACGTGCGACTTGAGATCCTGCGCCGCCTGCTCGCCAGCCTTCTGTGTGGACTGCTGATACGCTCGTAACTCCGCGCCTGCGCACAAGGGGTGTTGGATGTGAAAAATTATTAATCCTACTATGCGTGTAAATTGCGCGATAATGGTGAATTCGGTGGATGCAACTTACCGATATACGATAGGGAGTAATACGCGGCAATCGATTCCGTACACTATAAAGGTGTAATTAAATTCCGTAGGTTCTACCTGTACACTTCTGCATCACTCAATACAGATAAATGAATATGAATGAGAAAATATTGGTAAATATTTATGTAACTGTATATATACATATATATATATATATATATATATATATATATATATATATATATATATATATATATATATATATATATATATATATATACTATATATATATA